GTTTTTTCCTTCACAGATGCTGTCAGACCTGCTGAGCTTTACCAGCAACTTTGTTTTTGTTCCTGACCTTCGAACATCACTATTGACCTTAGCACTATAACATTTATTTGTAACGAGAGGGAAGATTTTAAGAGACATTTTAAGAAATAACATTAACAGCTAATATTCAGTACTAAGAACACAGGTAACTTTTTTCTTTGTAAAAACCCTTTCTCAGCTAAAACTGTGCAATATTACATGGCTTTCAACAGTAAAAATGTTACAAGGAATGCCATAGGAGTTTTATCAAGCACTGCTTGACATTAAGTGACCTGCAAAACTAGAGGAAATGATCAAATGTTTGCTCAAATCAGAGATATTTCTTTTAAGACATTCTTAAAAGAGCGGTTTAAGTGCTGGAACTCTACGGCTTCAGTTCCTCAGCAGCTGAAGGCACAGCGGCCGTTGCTGAAGAAATTAAAATTTTGGATGCACAAGTGACCAGAATGAGGTTTGCAGATATCTGGCAGGTTTGTATTAATCAAATTGCGCTAAGTTACTAATCTTAAAAACTATTCATTGATATATTTAAGAGCACTTTTAAAAATAGCTGACGGTACTGGTTCATGGCACAATTTTACATTTCAATAAACAAAGTAGATTTCGTGGAAACGTGAAGGGAAAACATTCATAGCAAGCACTAACATAATTTTGGGTGTAATGCACACAAAGTTGTAACTCCAAGCCTGAACGTACAGATAAAATGGCAATAAGGTCAGCCGGCAAGGTGAGGACTGGACATTAGAATCTGTTAACTTGCATCACAGTAACTCAAAACAAAATCAATAATCATCAAGCTAGTTATAGTGATAACTAATTATACAAAACTGAATGTAATTTGGTGAGATCACTTCAGCCGAATGACTTAGGTAGCTGACAACTTACGAACAGTTCTTAGGTAGGTTAGGAGTTATTTACGATTAGTTGACAATGTTTCCAATATTATCCTTGGGCAGCATGTGGTTTAGCGGCAACAACAAAAACAGAAGTTGGTGGAAAAGCTCAGCAGGTTTCGGGTCCGGTGACCTTCCTTAGTACCCTGAGCAAGGGTCACCAGACCAAAACGTTAACTCCGAATTTTTTCTTCACAGATGCTGCCAGACCTGCTGAGCTTTTCCAGCAATTTGTGTTTTTGTTCCTGATTTACAGCATCTGCAGTTCTTTTGGTTTTTATGTGGTTTAGCTCAATGTCTCACTTCACCTCCCCCGGTATCTAGGTCACCATTGACCATAGACCATCTTATCTAGCTGTTCCTTTTTTTCCTGCATCCGAGTAAATTCATTTTGTCCATGTCCAGTTAGCAGCACTCAAAGTGTCTTAAAAGCTCACCTCCACTGATTTTAAAAAAGCATCACACATGTAATATATAAGCAACTTAATTAATGCCAGGTCCACCATTTGGAAGTAACCTCATTTCTCATTGCTAAAAATGATGTTGAAACTACTGAAACATATTGTTGGTTAGTTTATTGCTGCAGTTGTACTAATTTTGTTAAATTATATTCAAACACTTCAAAAATGTATCTTAAAATTTTGGTGGATGTTAAGGGCCACTCAAAATTCCACAGACAAGCATAATTCTCAGATACTTGCAATAGTGGTTGAATCAGAAGAATGATGGCACAGCACATTGTACACTGTTTTTTTTCAATGAAGCACAAAGATCACCAAAACTCAATCTGTACTGAATGTAATATGTGGTTGAAATTTCACAATCTTTTGCACTGGTTTGATCGAGTTCATTGCAAAATAAAAAACAGCACAATGTCAGCAGCAATAGAGACCACAATGTTCAAGTTTAAGTTATATCAATGGTGACCGAAATGAATAAACAATTGCCTGATGACATCTGATGATTTCCAGTTTGTCGTGCCTCCTAATTCAAGGTTGGTAAGCCACTGCACATACAGTGCAAACTTACCAACCCAAAGCCATTCAGCAAGCCGAAACTGAGCATCAAGTCCAGCATGACTCTTCTTCGGAGGTTCTGAAGAAGAGTCATACAGGGCTCGAAATGTTGACTGTTTCTCTCTCTACAGATGCCGTCAGAACTGCTGAGTTTCTCCAGCATTTTTGGTGTTTGTTTCAGAGTTCCAGCACGCACAGTATTTGGCTTTTATTAAACTATGCATTGTTTGCTTTCAAAGTGGAGATTTGGCAGTAAACTGTCTATGAAAGAAAAGGAACTGAAAGGGTCAAAGATTCATTTGTAGTAGTCGTGCACTGACATATTGCCAAGACTGTTAAGTAAATAACATCCTTCAGTATTCTGAGTACTTGCAGCAGGTTTAAAACAACAGCTATATAATTAAAAACATTCAGTCTTTCATTTCCTTAAGGAAAACACCTGAAGGAGATTTGCTATGCTGAATGACATTACAAAATCCATCGAACACTTATCAAAGCATGCGCAAAGTTTTTGTGTGGCAACTCCCTAACAAAATCACTATGCATTTGAGGAATCTAGCAGAAAATAGTGTTCCTATAAAATTTACAGTTACTTACAAATTAATACCTTGTGTATTTAATAGCCTTGGTAATGAGCATAGTGTATGAACTTGTGCTTCTGGCAACACGCAGGTACCATCACTGAAGGACTCTGACACACACAGCACTTCATCTGCACCACACACACTATTAGCAGGTGATGCATTAACTGTTTAACTTTTGAGTAATCATGGAAAAATCCTCCCAAATATGGGAACATTTGATAAAATGAGCTGGCAAAGAAAACAAAGTTATTTTAACTACCTTTCTCTCCTCAGTCTTACTTGCAAACACAAGAACAAAATAATAGTAGTTTAATACTCTGCACATTTAAAATGATAAACTTTACAATGGGTGCAGTGGTAGACGAACTTCTAGAATCAAAGATTCAAAATAAAAATCTCTGCCAATTTTACGTAATCGTCTTAAAATTTACATTTTTTTTGTAAAGTCAGTGCATCCATCAGAATGTGAAATTTGACTATACTTTCAACGAGCACCAATCTTCTCATAATCACACACCAAACATCCCTATCATTCGGTATCACCAATTCTTCACAGCCAATCACCATACAATTTAGAAACCTATGGGGGTTATTAAAATTAGTCCACAAAAGCTAGACAGCTTTTAACAAAATCAAATTTTCATCTCTGCAGCTTCTGCACTGTGGGCTTTCGCATCAATCTGAAGAAAGCAAGTTTAATGATTTCTACTTTAGCCAGCGAAGCAATCAATTAAAAATTCACGTTACATGCAAAAACAAAACAAGACTCGCACATACTTAATCGACTCAGCATTAGACTGTAAATTTTAAACAGCAGTTTTAGACCAAGACGTCTCTCGGCAAGTGAATGTCTAATGCGAACATGCTTCACTGGACAAAACTGCCTTTACCCAACATTATATTTTAAAAGTCATGTTGGCGTTCGCCACCATCCGTAATTGATCGTAACGCATCCAGATGCGAAGACTCCGATCCGCTGCCCAAAGTGGAGGCTGTAAATCCGACAAATATGTCTATGCAACCTGGCTATGGACATAAATCGCTTTCGAACGGAAAGGACGAGGTAGAAAAATAATTTCCAGGTCCAATTTATGACACAAACACTTTTGTGAATCCCCTCGGCTGCGATTCGGAATCAAAGTGAGGGAACTCAACACTTAAATTTCAAATAAGATCAGTTGCAAGCCAAAAGCGGCCCCCTCTGTAAAGGAATTGAATCGAGTAATGAACAACAGCGCGGCTTTCGAATGCCACCGTGACTAAACGTGCAGATTTTTTTTAAAACCTGAAATCTACATTAAAAATAATGCAATCAGCCCCCACCACCGCCCGCAGTGTAAGCGAGTTTAAAAAATAATCTATACTCACCTCAAAGTTAAAGTCCCAAGGCTAAAGTGAATACAGTTCCTGCAAAAAGAGGGGAGGAGGATAAAGAAAGAGGATCCAGTGCGTGCAGCTTCGTTAATGCTTAAAGTTTCTTTCAGCCCTCACAGTCTAAGGGCTCCATCTCATGCTGGAGGCAGAAACAGAATGGGGCTTAGAAAGGATGGGGAGGTGGTGGGGAGGTGGGGAGGTGAAAAATGCAATGATCAGTGTGGACTGTGCGCCCTCTTTAGCATTAAAACAAAGCACAGGACCCTCTCTCTTCGCCCCCTTTTCCTTCAGCCTCGATTGTTGCTGTTGCTCGCCGTGTGGAGGATTCAACCAGCCAGCCCTCCCCTCTTAAACTCCTGGGATGCCGACCCCCCCCCCACACCCAGAGAAGGTAGCCCTGGACACTTTTGCCAAAAAAAAAAATAACCGACTTTGTTAGAAAGACTGTCCAAATGGAAAAGAGGATGGGGTGGGGGTAAAAGAGAGAAGATGGTGAAAAGGGGAATGGGGCAAACAAACCAACATGAAACTTTAATCCCTGAACTACAGCTACAGACAAAATATAAAACAAAATAAAATATCCCTGGCACTTTTCTACACCCAGAGTCACTTATTTCACCTGAAAGCTGCACAAAACACAAAATAAAATAAGAAGCTAAATCTCAGAGGGGCGCCACAGGAGCCCTTTCCCCTATAAATGTCTACAATACAAACTTGTTAATTATCCCCTATCCCCTTCCTTTTCCCTTTTATTTTTTCCCTTTCTCTATCAATCCCTTCCAATTCGCTTGTTGTCTCCCCCCTTTCTTTCTTTCCCCCGTTTTCCTCTCCTCTCTGCTTATTTTATGCAGGCGGCCGCCAAAACTCTAACCGAAAGGGGCGGGTGACAGGAGGGTCGATTTAAATTTTAAAATAAAACTCTGCGTTATTATTGTTATTTCACTCTTCTTCATCTCTCCTCCTTCGCCCCTTATCCCTTCCCTCTCTCCCTGCCACAAGCCTCGTCCGACAGCGGGAGCGCGAAGCCGGAGGCTTACAGAAGGGGGCGGGTCACAGCACCGGATACCCCGCCCTCCGGACCGGTTAGGTCGTCCCCTATGTCCTCTTACGCTTTTCTATTGGTTTATCACGCTGTCGATTGAGACGAAGGGGCGGTGCCCGCCCCAGGTTTCGCTTTTCGATTGAATGATTGTTCCGTCAATCAAAGGTAGGTTGCCGGTGTCAGGTGCTGCATTTCGATTGGTTTACCTCGCCGTCAATCAATAGCGGCGTCCCGGCGGCAGTTACTATTTTCCGATTGGTCCCGTGCGCCGTCAATCAAGTGTCGGGTTTGGCGTGCCAGGAAATGTCGCCTTTCTATTGGTCTATCCTGCAGTCAATCAGGACTGTACGTTTTCCCATTGGTCAATTGTGCCGTCAATCAGGCGCGAGTCCGGGCCTGGGTTAGATATTTCTTTCCGAATGGCCAGTCGCGTCCTAAGCCAAGGGTAAATCCCGCCGCCTAAATACTGCTTTGCGATTGGTTTGCTCTGCCATCAATCAGAGCAGTGGGTGGGTTTAGCGCATACAAAAACAGAAGTTGCTGGAAAAGCTCTGCAGGTCTGTGAAGACATAAAAATCACAATTAATGTTTCGGGTCCGGTAACCTTTCCTTCACAAATGCTGCCAGAGTTGCTGAGCTTTTCCAGTAACTTGTGTTTCCGTTCCTAATTTACAGCATCGGTTGTCGTGCATATAGCTTTCCGATTTGAAGGTTGGGCCATCAATCAACGTTGACGTGTGTGCATGTAAAGGATATAAAGTGCAAAAGCAGAAATTGCCGGAAAATCTTAGCATCTGTGGAGAGAAATCAGAATTAACGTTTCGGCTTCAGTTCTGAAGAAGGGTAACTGAAGCCGAAACGTTAACTCTGATTTCTTTCCACAGACCTGCCGAGCTTTTCCGGCAATTTCTGCTTTTGTTTCGGATTTCCAGCATCCGACGTCCTTTTTGGCTTTTTGTCATTGTACGAGTGGTAATCAATCAAGGGCTGTCCTGCCTCAGGTATCACCCTCCGAATGGCCCGTTCCTTCAGGAAGGGGGCGGTGCCACACGGAATGCCGTGTTCCGATTAGGCGGTCGTGCTGCCCATCAAGGGAAGGGGGTGGGTCTCCGCAAGTGTTTGCGTTCCAATTGGTCTGGCGCGCCGTCCATCACGCTATGCGGGGGATCGGGCCTCCGCGTGGCCCTGTCGTTCCTGCGGAGACCGGGGGTCGGAGATACCATTCGCTGTGCGGGCCCCTCACTGATTTGCAAACTTCTTCTTTTTGCATTCGGTTCCAAGCGTCCCTCTGCGCGTTTTGCAAAGTTAATAAAATGAATTAAAATTTCGGAAGTGCACTTTCGCGGGTAGGTGTCCCTGTGTGTGTGGGTGCGAGAAGGGAGAGAGACAGGACCCTAGCTGCACCGGCGGCGCGCGCGCCGAGGGCGGGAATGGTGTCGGTTGACGGTTAACGGTTAACGGTTAAAGGAGGAGGACAGCCCGGCGCCGCCATTTCCCCATTAATGTCAGCGGCTTGAAAGACGGAGATGGGGGCGGGATGGCTTTTTTTCCTCCCCACGCCTTCGGGGTTTTTCCATCTCTGAGGGAATGGGTTTCCGGCAGGCGCCGCCCAGGCCGGAAGCGGAACGTTGCAGGTAACTGTGCACCGGTGGCCTTCTCGTTTTCTTTTTTTAAAGAAAATATAAAATAAAAGAACCGAAACCACCTCCGCCTCGTGGTAATGACTCTCCACCATCCTCAGGCCCAGGAGGAAGGGGTGGGTAGCAAAAGGGGGCGATGCTGCTGGGTGAAACTCCCTTGGTTGGGGGCTGGGCCGGGCCTGGCTTGGTGTCTGGGCCCAGCGCCGCGCTTTCCCCGGGTTTCTAACTTTTATTTCATTTAACCTGTTTTTTTTTTCCTAATCAGCCCGTTCAGAGATGTTATTACAAAGCTCTGGAGTAGATGGTACTTAAACCCAGGCCTCTCGGCCCGGGGGTACGGACACTGCCACTGCGCCGCAAAGTGCCAATGATTTCCTTTTCATTTGGATCCTGAAGGATTTAAGGACAGATAGGAGCGTATTTTGTTGTTAGAAAATCTTCCAAGGTTTTATCTCCTGCGTTACAGTGAGGTGCAACAAACATCAGCCTTCCTGCTCCTCTGATGCTGCTTGGCCTGCTGTGTTCATCCAGCTCTACACCTTGTTATCTCTATTTACAGTCGCAGAGCTGTACAGCACAGTCCAACTCGTCCACGTTGACCAAGTATCCTAAATTAATCTAGTCCCATTTGCCAGCATTTGGCCCATATCCCTCTAATCCCTTCCTATTCCTATTCCCATCCAGGTGCCTTTTAAATGTTGTAATTGTACCAGCCTCCACCACTTCCTCTGGCAGCTCATTCCATACACCGCACCACCCGCTGAGTGAAAAGGTTGCCCCTTACATGTGGGAGCGTGGAAGTTTTGCTACAACTTTTCAAAATATTGCTTCGGCAACAGATGGAATACTGTGTGCAGTTTAACTGGATAGTGGTATTATTAGCAAAATATTAAGCCAGAGACCTTGGTCATGATCTGGGTGCCTGGGTTCAAATCCTGCTATGGTAGATGGTGACATTTGAATTCAATAAAAATCTGGAATTGAATCTATAGGTGACCATTGTAGGTTGTTGGAAAGTCCCATCGGCTCACTAATGCCTTTTAGGGAAGGAAACTGCCGTCCTTGCCTGGAGTGGCCTACATGTGACTCCATACCCACAGCAATGTTGTTGACACCTAATTGCTCCTTGACCATAAGGGATGGGCAATAAATGCTGGTCCAGCCAGTGATGCCCACATCCCCTTAATTTTTTTTAAACAAAATGGTTCTGATCACCACTGTTATCAGAGGGACGTGATAGCACTGGAGAGCGTGCAGAGCGGATTCACCAGGATGTTACCTGGGGTGAGATGTCTAGGGAGAGACTGGATAGCCTGGGTTTGTTTTCCTTGCAACAGAGGAAGCTGAGGGGTGCATCTGATCGAGGTATACATAATTATGAGAGGTATAAACAGAGTAGATTGTGAGAATCTCTTCCCCATCACAGACAATAGGTTTAAGGTGAGGACTAAGTGGTTTAGAGGAGCTCTGAGGAAAACCTTTTTCAGCCAGAGGGTGATAGAAATACAGAACATGCTGCCTGAGAGGTTGATGGAGGCAGGTACTCTCATAACATTTAAAAAGCATCTGGGTGAGCACTTAAAATGCCAGGGCATAGTAGGCTATGGACCAAATGAGGTTAGTGTAGTTTGGTGTTTGGTCGTTTGTATAGGCATGGCGGGCTGAAGGGCCTGTTTCAATGCTATATATCTGGATGACTCTGTAACACTGGTTGGGGATTCTAGAACTACGGGGCACAGTCTGAGAATTAGGGCCATACCGTTCGGGAGAGATGTTAGAACGTGCTTCAACACGGAGGTTGAGAATTGTTGGAACTCTCTTCCAGAAGCAGCAGTGTATGCTTGATCAGTTGTTAATTTTAAATCTGCAATGCATAAACTTTTGTTAAGCCAAAGTATTATGTGATATGGGCCAAAACCAAGTATATGCAGTTAGGCCACAGATCATCCATGATATCATTGAATGGCAGAACAGGCCCAAGGGGCTGAATGGCCTACTCCTGCTGTTATGATTGTGCAACAGCCGTTTGCATTCTTGTAGCACCTTTCATATGATGAAAAATTCCCAATGCCCTTCACAGGTGCATAATCAAAACAAAAACAAAATGCCAAGGTGGTATTCAAGCGGATTATCAAAGTGGTAGGTTTTAAGGTGGAAAGATAGGTCGACGGGTTTAGGGAAGGTATACAGAGCTTAAGTAACTGTGTGATACATGGAGGTATTGAGTCTTGCGGTGCAATAGTATTGACCTGGAGGCCTGGCTTCAAGTCCCACCTGCTCCAGAGGAGATGTAATCTCTAAATAGGTTGATTAGAAAATACCTGTGACAGTTTAATGGAGGAGTTGGGAATGGTGGTGTTGTGGGTAGTATTGGGTATCATTGCAGCACATTTGGAAATTGGTATTATACCAAGAGACAAGGTGCAGAAGAGCAAATATGGATCTGGGACATTAGTAGTGATAATGCAGGGGCAAGAACCCATTGCAAGCAACTCTCTAGCTGCAATTAGCTAGGGAAGAATGGAACCAGATAAGTGCAGTCTCATCCAGCTGAACAAGAATACAATGGTATTGGTGAGAACAATGTGATAAACTATGTTGAAGCTGTAGAGAATTTACGAAAAACGTGGGGGGGATATTTACCTCATTCATAAACAAGTTGGCAAACTTCAAAAAATTATATCCTTTGTGAAATTGGAATCTAATAGGGTTACTGTCCTTACTGACCTGTTTTGACAACATCACCTTGATAATTTATTATGATCTCTCTACCTTAATTAGTTTGTACATTTTTGGATGACTTGTTACTTTGGTTAGACCCCATGGCATGCCACTCTTATACCTATCACCCATTTGGTTTGTTTCCAGCACCACCATATTTTTAATTTTTTGTAATTTACCTCTGCCTCAATTAATTGGATTATAGGTTATCCCTTCACTTGCTATTCAACTGTTGACACTTTACTCACACTGTCAGACAGCAGGATATATATAGATCAATTGGAGGCATGGGCAGAAAAATAGCAGATGGAGTTTCATCTAGACAAGTGTGAGGTGATACATTTTGGAAGGTCAAGTACAGTTGGATAACACACAGTAAATGGCAGAACCTTTAGGAGTATTGATATGCAGAGGTATCTAGGTATGCAGATCTGCAGGTCCACGGATCATTGAAGGTATCAGCACAGGTAGGTAAGGTAGTTAAAAAAGGCTTATGGCATGCTTGCCTTCATTGGAAATGGCATTGAGTATAAGGATAGACAAGTTATGCTGCAGCTTTATAGAATTTTAGTTAGGCCACACTGGAATTTTGCGTACAGTTCTGGTCACCACACAACCCAAAGAATGTGGATGCTTTGGAGAGGGTGCAGAAAAGGTTTACCAGGATGTTGCCTGGTATGGGGGATTTTAGCTATGAAGAAAGGTTAGCTAGACTGGGTTTGTTTTCACTGGAATGCAAGAGGTTGAGGGGCGACCTAATGGAAATTTATAAGATTGTGAATGTCATGGATGGAGTGGAAGTAAGAGGCTTTTTTCCCAGGGTGGAGGGGTCAGTTACTGGGAGACACAGGTTCAAGGTGCAAGGCAAGTTTTTCATACAGAGGGTGGTGAGTCCCTGGAATGCATTGCCAGAAGACGTAGTGGAAGTAGACACAATAGCAGCATTCACGAAGCACCCGAATGAATACATGAATAGGAAGGGAATAGAAGGACATGGATTCTGTAAGTGAAGACAGGTTTAGTATGGAACGGCAAAATGTGTCAGCGCAGGTTTGAAGGGCTGAAGGGACTGTTCCTGTTTGGTATTGTTCTTTGTTTGCCTGACACTTGATCACCTGCAGAGTCTTATTATTCAGCCTGTGACACTCCACTCACACCATTTATGTGATCTTTTGATCTCTCTGCCTATAAGTTATGTGCCTGTGTTCTACTCTTCACTCCACCCCACGATGAAGATGCGCTCCAAAAGCTTGTGATTTCGAATAAACCTATCGGACTATAAGCTGGTGTCATGTGACTTCTGACCTTGTCCACCCCAGTCCAACAACAGCACAATTTAAAGAGGAATCATGCTGAGACCGGATAGAGCGTGAAAGGGTTAGGAATGCTGAAGGTTTGGATGCAAATTGGGAGTCAAGAAATGAAAGATGGTGTGACAACAGGAGAGAATGAAATAGACGGGATTAAGAGGAAAGAAATGAAGGGGATGGGCGTGGAAATAGAAGTAATGGGCTCAGGTCTGCAGCAGTAGGAAAACGATATCAAATGAAGGAACGGTAAAGTTGCCATAGTCTTCTTACCAGACCGGCTGCACTCTCATTAGGAAGAGACGACTGGTGGTGGTTTAACGTGAGGGTCACAGTGCCTCAGATGAGGGGAGAGTTTTGAGAAGGAGAGTCCTTCATGCTAACCTTAGCCGGAGTAGCTATTGAGCCCACACTGTTGATGTCACTTTACCACAAACTAGCCATCCAGACAACTGAGCTCACCGATATCCCCCCCAATACAAGTTTCGTCGGCATGGTTACATAATTATTATCCTGATTGCAAATTGAGAATGAATATGAGAGAATAAGAGGGAGTCCATTTTTAATGTTAGAGGACCCATGGTGAGATAAAGTTGATGTAGGGAAGAAAGAGAGAAGATGGAGAATCAACAAACTGTTGCTCAAGTTTCAAAACAAGTGTCAAAGACAAGTGAAGGCCTGAAACTGTTTGAAGGGTAGAATATTGCAAAATGCACTGATGGAGGTATTTTCTGTGGAATGTTGATTCCCCTGATGCGCAGAGTTGCATGCAGGGCAGAAAGAACATGATCAAGTTGGAAGTCAGTGTAACAGCCAGGAATGCCGGATGAATGTGGTTAAGAGAATGAACCTCTGATCACGAACTGGTTGATGTCATTGGCAGCTATGCCTCAATTTCAGGTTAATGTCTAGTCAGGGTTGTATTTTGTCATGGTTATTCATGTAACTGAACAAGTCAGTTCTGCA